TACTAAGCACAGATTTCCAGGGACAGAAAATAGTCCTGAAGGTTGGTTATAGCCCAGAATGTTAATTTGCTTTGCTTTGGTCAAAAGTACAGTGAGAATATATGTACACTACAAGCCAAGTGCGAAACACATATACTCATTTATTTTTATATTCCAAATTTTAAAACAATATTAAGTTTTTACAAGATGTTGTAAAAGAGCATAATAGGACCTCTTTAAATGTTTTTTTGTAAGATGTTTCTTAAGCTTACAAAGGCTGCATTTACTTGACAAAAATGCACTAATATTGTTACATTTTTATTGCAGTTTAAAATAACTGTATTCTTAGTGTATGTAACTGCATCTAATGTATTTTTAAATGTTCTTTATTCCTTTGATGGCAAGGCTGAATTTTCAGCAGCCATTACTCCAGGCTTCAGTGTCACATGATCCTTCAGAAAGCATTGCATAGGCTAATTTAGTACTCAACTATCTTTCTTTTGTTGTTGGGTGCTTTATTATTATTATTATTTTTTTTTTATTGGTAGTATTGTTAATGTTGAAAACTACTGCTTAATATTGTGTGGAAACCGTGATACATTTTTTCCAGGATATATTGTTAGATATGGAATATCTATAGATATTGTTGCTGACCATTGCTGAATGTTTGTAAAAGAGTTGAGGGTTGTTTGCAGTGCTATGCTGTGGATGAAGAGTCAGAGGCGAAGATGCTTGAACAAGCCGCCCAGTATCACAGAGCTCAGCAGCAGAATCCCGCCACAACTGTTCCTCTCCTGGCGCTGTTTTGTGGCAAAGTTCTCTGTCGTCTTTTACTATGCTAGTTTCTGACTTCATAAAGCAGAGTGGACCTACAAATTTCAGTGATGTTACAGCTCTGTATCAGCGCATGTGTAAAATGTCTTCTGTTTTGTCCAGTCTGATCCACTGGCATACATCATGGTACCACACTACTCGAATGGAAGTCTCAGGGCCATTCAGAAATCCTCTCCACTGTCCTCTTCTGTAAGTGCATCAATTCCAAATGTATTTGTCGACACTGTAGACAAGTGGTAAAGTTTGTCAGATTAATATAAAGTTCTTACAAAACTTTTTTTTTTAAATTTACTTTTAATTTACTATTTTAAAATCAAGCATTAATGGCCATAACAGCCAGAATTTGGGTGCTTACTCATACAATTTGCAAACTTTTTTTAAGGTATTTTTTTGTCCTTTTTTGTTATTGCAATGTAGGAGATTAGGAAGGTGATGAAGGGCGTAGCTTTGGGACTGCAGGGTCTTCATGCAGCATCTCTTACTCATGCATCTCTGCATCCCAACAATGTGTTTGCCATCGGCCGAGAGAAAGGCATTGTTGGAGATTATGATTTCTCAAAGACACCTGTAAGTGAACCCACCCCACCAGCAAATTCAGTGACGTTATGGATTCATGTACTTTTTGGGGAAAAGTAACTAAATGGAAGCAGACCTGGTCTTGATTATTAAATCTTAGAAATTATTGGTTATATTATTATTTGTTTTTATAGGAGCAGAGGGTGTCTGATAGCGGGATGGTGGCTGGTTCCATCAGTCTGGTGGCTCCAGAGTTGAAGCAGGGTCAGCCACCTTCCCCAGCCAGTGATATGTATGCCTTTGGAGGCATCGTGCTCTGGGTAGAACTGTTACTTACTTATTTGCTTGCTTGCTTGCTTACACTATCATTTAAAAGTCTGGAATAATCATTTTCTAAAGAACTCTTTTTTTCTTTTCTTTTTTTTTTAATCAAAAATAAAGTAAAAAAAAGTAATACTGTGAAATATTATTGCAGTTTAAACAAACTGTTTTCTATTCGAATATATTTTAAAAATGACTTTATTCCTGTTTTGACAAAGCTGAATTTTCAGCAGCCATTTCTCGTCTTCAGTGTCACACGATTCTTCAGAAATCGTTCTAATATGTGACCCTGGACCACAAAACCAGTCATAAGGGTCAGTTTTTCAAAATTGAGATTTATACACCATCTGTTGATTTATACACCAAAGTTGAATAAATAAGCTTTCCATTGATGTATGGTTTGTTAGGATAGGATAACATTTGGCTGAGATACAACTATTTGAAAATCTGGAAGCTGAGGGTGCAAAAAAATCTAAATATTGAGAAAATCACCTTTAAAGTTGTCCAAATGAAGTTCTTAGCAATGCATATTACTAATCAAAAATTAAGTTTTAATATATTTGCAGTAGGAAATTTACAAAATATCTTCAAGGAACATGATCTGTACTTAATATACTAATGATTTGTGGCATAAAAGAAAAATCAATAATGTTGACCCATACAATGTATTTTTGACTATTGCTACAAATATACCCCAGCGACTTAAGACTGGTTTTGTGCTCCAGGGTCACATATTTTGATTTGCTGTTACTGCTATTTAATATTTGTGTGGATACCGTGAAATATTTATTTCAGGATTCTTGAATAGACAGACGGATGAATAGAAAGGTCAAAAGAACAGCCTATATTTGAAATAGAAATCTTTTGAAACATTCTAAATGTCTTCTTTACTGTCACTTTTGATTAAGACTGGAGTAATAAAAATCCAGCTTTTCCAGTTCAGGAATAAATTACATTTTAAAATATATTTGTATCATGAAAAGCGCTATACAAATAAACGTGAATATTCAAATAAGAAGCATTTCTTTTAAATTGTAATAATATTTCACAATTATTTTAATCATTTTGGATCAAATAAATGCAGCCTTGGTGAGCATAAGAGATTTATTTCGGAAACATTACAAACTCTTTATTATTCAAAACTTTTGAGCTGTTATGTTCTTATTTATTGTCCTTTTTATATTTTTATAAAATTATAATTTATGAAAACAAAAATGAATACAAATTTCTAGTGTGTAAAATATAGTAGAAGTATACATTGTATATAAATGTGTGATTCTAAAAAAAAAGAAAAAAAAGACAAACTTTAAAAACAACATACATTTTTTCTGCCAGTAAAGGAGTCTTGTTTGTTCACAGCTGCATGTTCCAGACTTCAGCGGAACTCTAGAGAGTGAGCGTCAAAATGTAGAGTTCTCTGGTTTGGGTCTGGTAGGTAGAATATAAGAGCTGATAAATAGTATTTTAAAATTATTACTCCAAAATGATTCAAACATCTCTCGCTGACAGGATGCCAGATTGCACGAGCTCCTCTCAAAGCTGCTGATTTCATCTACAAGACTGTCTGCTTCTGAGGCCCTAAAGGAAGACTACTTCATCTCAGTTGATGTGTAAAAGTGAATTATGTTCATGTTTGCGTTCTTTGCACTTTTTATTTATTATTTTCTTCTAAGAAAAAAAAAAACCACAGAGGTGTTTGTTTGTTCATTCCTCAAACCTTGTTTCATGTTCCTGGAATAAATAAAAATAAGTTTATAAAGGCAGAATTAAGTGGAAATCTTGGTCAATACAGTATGCATCAGAAAAGATGAGCATTTTCTGTTTGGAAGATGCTTGGTTTTACCCTTTTGTAATTGATCCTGTTCCAGCCCAGATCCACGTAATGTGAAAGGCTGTCAGCTGTAATCTCAGTCACTGACAAGACCTTACTTTGAAATTGCCCCATTCGAAAATTGTCTCCATGTTATCTTCTGTCTTTCTGTTCTTTTTTTCTTCTTCATCAAAACGTGACTCAAAAATGCTGAAAGGGCGAACAGTTTGGCATGCTAGTGAATATTCACAGAAATCATACGAGTGTATAATAATTTCCGGTATCATCAACAAATTAGTGAGAAAATAACACGTTTTCATTAGTATTTTGGGCACACTTACCATTCACATGCAATCTCTGTGATTATTGACCTTGTAAAGGTCGCCTGGTTTTTCCAGTGTTGTGGTACTCCACTAGCCACTTTTTTTTTTTTTGAACACAGCAGTCCCAGCATCGATGAACGGTACAATTTATGCCACTTAGGAAGAAGCTAATCAGGCTGAGATGTTCAAAGTTATGTAACGGTGGTTTTCACTTATTGGAAATCAGACCACAGAGTCATTCCGCATTGCTGTTATTTGACTGGACGACCCAAGGTCATTTACTAGAATATAGCACTATATAATATAAGGCTTTTACAGTTTCTTCCTAAAATACAATTATGACACCGTGAATTCAGCAAGTGTTCAAGAGTCAGACCCCTGCATTTTTTCACATTGTGCCAAGTTATGCCAAAATGCTTAAAATTAGTCAGACCCTTAAAGGGATAGTTCACCCAAAAATGAAAATTCTGTCATCATTTACTCACCCTCATGTCGTTCCAAACCTGTATGAGTTGCTTTCTTATGCTGAACACTAAAGAAGTTATTTTGAAGATTGCTGGTAATCAAACAGTTGGTGGTATTTTTTCCCCCCTACTATGGAAGTCGATGGCAACCGCAAACTTTGATTACCAGCAATCTTCAAAATGTCTTATTTTATGTTCAACATAAGAAAGCAACTCATACGGGTTTGGAACGACATGAGGGTGAGTAAATGATGACAGCATTTTCATTTTTGGGTGAACTATCCCTTTAAAGGGATACATAAAAAAAATGGTCATTTACTCTAATGTTGTTCCAAACTCGTATAACTGAAACATGTTCTGAGAAGCATATAGAAGATATTTTGAGAAATATTGTTTTGTTTCGAGTTTTTCTTTACCAGCATTCTTCAAAATATGTTTTGTTCCTTAGAAGAAAGAAATGCATAACAGGTTTATGAGGGTGAGTAAATGATAACAGAACTTTAATGTTTGGGTGACTAATTTAATTTAGCACCTTCGGCAGCGATTACAGCATCAGGTGAGTCTGACTATAGCCTACTTATTTGCTGCATTCAGGACGTTTGAGAATTATTATTTTTTCCTTGTAAAGTTTGCATAAGAGTATACATCTCTTAGACCTTGTATAACAATGATGACACGCCTTCTTGTCGTGTTAAGCGCTGCACTTTAAAGAGACGTGCTCCACATCTGCTATAAATTACGAGCAATCTCCTTCAGTCCGGCAGAACATCTGAGATCCCAGAGAACTGTGCTGTCAGTCAACCCTCTCAAGAAGACAAGAGTCTGTCATCGGAGGAAGGTAAGTAAAACAACCGTTTTGTTATGTTGGTCGTCAGTTTTAATATGCAAGTTAAACCACTCAAAACGAAGTAAGATACACAGTTGTGAGCAAGGGCTAGCTGTAAGGTTTCAACCAAGTCTAGGTAGCAGTGATTTTGTAGGCTATATTGGTTTTAAACACCTAGTTCAAAACCCTTAAGTAATTCTTTATATTATCTAAGGTCAAATGTTATTCTACACTATTAAACATTTCAATACCATATTTTGCAGTAGGTAAATAAGTGAACAAACACATGCTGGGATATAGATAGATAGTATACACATTTATGAAGGAGCAAAAATAGAAAAAAAGTAATACAAATGTAATTAATTAATGAAAATATTTAATTACAATTTTTGTCCAATATTTTAGTATACAAATAATTCATCTAAATCTATTTTATAAAAACAACAACAAGCTCTGGTCTAGTCTTGAATTCAAATTAAGTAATTGTTCAAAACTAGGCTGCTTTTACATTTTTGGCAGCATTTATTTATTCATTCATTCATTCATTCATTCATTCATTTATTTTCTAGATGCACTCTCATCAGCTGGTGTTCATGGTCATTGCTGTGATGTGGATTGTGACAATCACAGATGCATATCCATACACGCCAGACACAGCCATCCCTGCAGAGGACATGGCCAAATACTATACTGCGCTACGACACTATATCAAGCTCATCACACGACAAAGGTAAGATTTAAAAAAAGTGTAAATTAATTAATAAAATACAGCAAGCAGGATAATAGCTAGTCCCAAAGTATTTAGCAAGCCATTTGAAATTAAGTTTACAAAGAAATAGGTCTTCATTTTTTTGTTGTTTTTTACACTAATCATATGTTCATTATTTAAATAATACTTTCTCTTATTTTAGGGAATATGTTAGGAATAAGTTAATTTTGTGCAGGCTTTTTATTTCCTCTGATGCTTTTGTTGCTCTGATTGTCCTAACCTCTCTCAGGTATGGGAAAAGAAGCAGTCCTGAGCCCATGTTCTTGAGTCGGCTGTTGAGAGAGACACAAGAAAGCATTCCTGAGTCAACATATGATGAAGCAGGCACTGAACATGACAAGATCAGGTTAAAACTACAACATTTTATTTAGCTGGGGACTGGATATGATCTTTTTGTGTGATCTAAGCCTTCATTGCTTTACATTAAAATATATATAATTGCCTCTCTCACTTTTTCATGTTATATAATTGTGTTTTCACAGATTAAAGGTAATATCCAATTGGTAATGGAAGCGGTGACCAGAGAGTGGCAGTGTGCAGCTTTAAACCTTTGCTCTGATACTGTTTTCATACACTTTGGTCATTATATTCTGTATTAATAATTATACAGTGTTTGTGAATTAAATGCATTGAAGAAATGAATATTAGTGGTTGTACATTAATTAAACCACAGACACATTTTTATCCTCATAGTAGACTGAAAACATTTATAATTTGTGAATATATTCTTAGGTTTTGGCTACTTTTCAGACCTTAAAAGAAATTAAATTTTCTAAAATACATTTTAATATCAACAGGGAACAAAACACTTATTTAAAATACCTGATATCAAATGACATCTCTCATATTTATATTTGTAAATATATAGTGAGGTTTTTGGGACATCAACTTGTAGTCCCTCAATGAAAAAAAATAAAAATATATATACAGTGTTGTGAAGGTTACTTTGGAAATGTAATATGTAACAGATTACAAGTTACCCTATTTAAAATGTAATAAGTAGTGTAACTATTTCAATTACTTTATTAAAGTAATGTAACTGACTACGTTTGATTGCTTTTTGATTACTTTTCCAAATTTCTAACATGTTTTTAACTGTTAATCATTTTCAAACATTTTTAAAGCAGGCAGGTTTAACCTTACAGTAGTACTCAACACTGATTACTGTCAGACTTTCAAAATCCTTCTTCACTTGAATTGATCATATTAAATATATATAATATATTTAATAATATATATAATGATATATATAATTAAATTTTAAAGCACAGTCACCACAAAATCAGACTTTAGCACTTCTTTTTACTTTGAGATCTTTGAGGTTAAATACAGATTTAAAGGGGTCACATGACATTGCTAAAAAGAACATTATTTTGTGTATTTGGTGTAATGAAATGTGTTTATGCGGTTTAAGGTTAAAAAAACACATTATTTTTCCACATACTGTACATTATTGTTTCTCCTCTATGCCCCGCCTTTCTGAAACGCGTCGATTTTTACAAAGCTCATCGGTCTGAAAAGCGAGGTGTGCTCTGATTGGCCAGCTATCCAATGCATTGTGATTGGCCGAATACCTCAAGCGTGTGACGGAAATGTTACGCCCCTCACCATACTGTGATGCCGTCTCCCGGAGCGACGAGACAAAAACATGAAAATCCAAAGAGAAAGGAAAAATTGAAATCGCATCATATGACCCCTTTACAATCATAAGATATAGTTTAATAGTTATGATACTGTTTTGAAATCAAATCCTTGAATAGCTACGACAGGAAACACTGGCATCTAATAATGCCTTGGGGGGAAAAAACTGTTAATCTTTAAAAAAAAAAGATTGCAAGCTGAATATTTCATGACCATGGTGGCTACGTTTTTATTTTTGTTAAAAGGTTATTGTCCAAACTCCTAGCTCCCTAATAGATCCTTCCTAAAGGGAATTCTAAATAAAAAATTATTTAATGTCATAACATTCATATTAAACACTGTTGCGCGGTCATACACACCCTGAGGAAGTAATGTGGAGGAGAAAATAATCGTCTCACATTTTTCACAAATGAGTCGCTCATGCGGATCCGCCTACGGTCAGTGGGCGTGTCCTTTCGCATCCCGTGTATCTGATTGGTTATTCCTCACGGGCGTCAACCAAAGGGGCAGGTCCGAACGTTTTGACTGGCACAGAGCAGTAGAGAGGAGAAGTGTCTTGTTCTGTCTGCGTGGGAAATTCATGGGGCTTTAAATTTCTCACCGGGACACAGGTCCACCCAGGGGGTTCAGTGAGGTAAGTCTCGAGGTCTGTGAATGTTTTGGGCTTGTAGATGCGGGTGTTTGTGTGAGCAGGGCTCTACACGTGGCTGTCTATACAGCTGTCTCACACTGGGGACACTTTTGATTGGAGCGCTAACCAGCTAAATCCAGTTAGCCGTCTAATAATAAACAGCTGATTTGCAGGTTTGCTGCTAGCACTCCGCGGCTACACTGTTAAAGCTAACTGTTGCAGCCAGTTCAAGCTGTGAATGAAAGAACTGCGGAAACGAACGCGTAATGTTAACTTTACAACGTAGGAGAAAACTAGGCAGGTTTGTAAAAGCTGAATTAGCACAGCGCGAGCTATTGTCATGCGCACCGCGCGTTTCCCTGAAGTTGAATGGGCCGCACGTGCGCTTGTGTCGCCAGCATGAAAATCTACTGCGTAATGTTACGCGCGGTCCAGCGTGACTGGAAGATTGCAGGTTATATGAACTGGAACAGTATCTGAATAAGATGTGCCACTGCCAGGACAGACATCTGTGGCTAGAATACGCGAGCGAGTTAACTTGCCTGTAACAACGAGAGCAGCTCGATTCAAGACGGTCACTGGCCTTTGTGGCGTTATAACTCATTTACAACACACAGTACAAGTCCATATCTGAATTTCATCTGCATTTACGTATACATCTAAATCTCAAACAGGCACAAGCAGCCAAGCATATTTAGCCCTTTAACTGTTTCTCAACCTATTGAGTTACTGTAGTTTAGTAGCAACTCAAAAGGGAAAATTTGTTCGTTGTCTGACTCATGATGATTACATCTATTTTCTGCCTTCAAGGAAACCATGTAGTTATGTTTTTGAACATCACATTTACGGGAGAGCAGAAAACAAAAAGCAATATTGATGTTAATATTAATAAATGGTGAGGTCTGAGACATTAGTTGCTATTTTATTTTAGGGACCATTGATAAGTTTTTTTTAATTATTTTATATTTTTTTGCTTTTTAAAATAATATATATTAAGTTTGGGTGCTGCAGTTTTTTTTTTTTAAATAAGTTAATAATTTTATTAATGATTAACATTGTATTCAACAAGGATGCATTAAGGTGATCACATTCACAAGTGGCAGTGAAGACTTGTGAAGATTTAAAAAAAAAAAAGTATCATGGTTTTAAAGCAGAAGGAGCCCCTACCAAGTATTGTGTACAGTAAATGAACATACTTTCCAGAAGAAAAATTGGTGGGTTTTTGTTAAATGTGAGCCAAAATCATCACAATTAAAAGAACCAAAGACTTAAACTACTTCAGTCTGTGTGCATTGAATTTATTTAATACACGAGTTTCACAATTTGAGTTGAATTACTGAAATAAATGAACTTTTCCACAACATTCTAATTTGAGATGCACCTGTATGTTACTTTCTTCTTTCAGACGAATCCAGTCGGAGTTATATAAAAAATTGTCTTTGATCTTTCAAGCTGTATCATTGCAGTCAGCGGGTGTTGCATTTCTTCAGTCCAAAAGTAGTGAAATAAAAAGCGCCCATCCATAAAAAAACTAAATAAGTGTCTCACACGGCTCCGGGGGGTGAACAAAGGCCTCCTGTAGCAAATCGATGCGTTTTTGTAAACTTTTTTTTTTATTTTTATGGATGGGCAATTTTTATTTCACTACTTTTGGACTGAAGCAATGCAACACCCACTGACTGCAATGATAGAGCTTGAAAGATCAAAGTTTAAAGTTTACTATAACTCCGACTGGATTCATCTGAAAGAAGAAAGTCATATACACCTAGGATGCCTCAGGGGTGAGTAAAACGCAGCCTAATTTTCATTTTTGGGAGAAAGAACCCTTTAAGCAAAAATAAGATAAGGAAATAAGCTCTGTAATGCAGTGTTTGAAACTTCATCGTTGTGAATCACCCAGTAATATTTATTTATGAATAATATTACAGTAATTTTATTGTATTACAGGAAACAAAAGTTTTTCATTGCCTTACTGAAAACTGTAGCTTTGGTTTTAGGTGATTGAGCTGTCAGAAGGGTCATTCACCACCTCTTCTGTTAGTTAATGCATGGCGGTGTTTGCAGTTGGTTTAAAACGTAACCGTTTGAACAAACATTTCATGTTATTTATTTATTTTGTGTTGAATGTAAGCTTCTCTTACATGCTCCTCCACTTTTAAACACCTTGGCCTAGTTACGTTTTCCCCAGCCTTTTGGCCTCAAGCTTTAGTGTGAACATACTCTTCTACAGCATACTGTGCAACCCACATCATGTACAGTGGTTCATAGCAAATCACACAAGACAGAGTCAGCAGCATGTGATTACTCTGCTCGCTTTAAATTACCAGTGTACTGTGAGTTGTGCAACAGTGATGGGCTTCAACATTAGACTCCTAAAAACTTGAGCCTTTTTCCAATTAATAACGGTGTTGGATGGAGTGATTGAAACATATGCGACTTTGTAGTTTCTTTTGGATTCTTGTGGCTTCATACAAAATGACCCCCTGTGAAGTGAGACAGGAAGGTTGCTGTCTTGATCTCGTAATGACTCCCAATCAGATTAAACTTCCACGCTTGTTCTTAATCTGTTGTATTCACCTGCCGTCTCACGGTTGCAAAGGAATGGGAACATTTCTGGTAAATTTCCGGAAACTTTACAAAAATACCTGGAATATTCTAAAAAAAATCCTGGAATATTTCCAAAATTTACTGGATATTTTCCACCTTTTTGCAACCCTACGCCACAGTCATAGTATTTTTCTACTTCCTTAAGCCTTGAAATGGATATGCATTGTATTGGACTTGAAAAGACATGAATTAGTACATTTTTTACTGCTTTTATTTGATTGAAATTACAGTAAAATTACTGCTAAATATTTTTTTGTGGAAACCATGATGCATTTATTTTTCAGGATTCTTTGATGAATAGAAAGTTCAGAAGTAGCCTACAGCATTTATTTGAAATGGTAATCTTTTGTAACAGTAACATTCTTTAGTCACTTTTACTGTCAATTGAATGCATCCTTGCTGAATTATATGAATTTTCTCTATTAATATACTCAGCGCTCTACGAACACCTTGGCAATTGAATCGCCATTGGCTAGTAAATTTTGTTTACTCGCCAGACTTGGCTAATATTAGACAATCTTTTAGTCGCCCAGAGTGAAGATTTAGTCGCATATGCGAGTGATTTACTCGCAATGTAGAGGGTTGATACTGACCCCTAACTTTTGAATGGTAGTGTATCTCAGTTTGATTTTACTTCCCTAAAAGATATGTGTTCCACCTAAACGCATGTTGAAAGCGAAGTGGAAACACCATTCTCTGTGATCACATGGAAGTGTTTTATTACTTTCAGAGGAACTTTGCAGAGTCATTTGTAAGTGAGCTGCTCTTTTGTTTTTTTTTAATATAGGGATTGTTATTATTGCTTGCATTTAGCGGTCTGCTCATTTCCCCACAATAATGCAGTGGTAATTAAATGCAAGTATTAGTTTTTCAATCAGATGCCAGTCTCAGTTAATATAGTCTTGGTGCATTGTTTTATGTAAGCCCACTGACAGGTTTGTTTATGTAAGCCCACTGGCAGTTTTTAAAAATGTTGGGAATCTGTCCTCTCCCAGGTTTTTCTGTCTGAGCAGAGGTTCTGTGAACTGCACTGAAATTCATTTTGCAGGTGAGTCATTACATATAGCATGTAGTGTTATATTCTGTTGTCAGAATATTATCCTTTCTGCGCTGGATTGACGTGTATGAACAACATAAAATACTCATGCCACATTTCCTCAAATGATAACGGGTGCTATTATAATATCCAGAGATGCTGAATTAAATGTTTTTGCCATTGCTAAAGTACAACTTTTTTCCGAGTTTTGCTTGTTTCTACACAAAACCTATCGTATGTGCTTCTCTGTATAAACGCGCACATCGTAGGATTGTGGTGTTTGTTAAAGCTATAATCAGCAATCGATAGAAACAGATCCCAGTTTTGCTTGTAGAATGTCTTTGATCGTGTGTCTCTGATCGTGTAGATACACTGTTGTGTGTAAAGATGGTTTGTTTGTGGGTAAAGTCCTTTTCTCTTGAAATCACCTCATTCATAGTTCAAGGGCCTTCTAAAAGGTTTCAGTGACACAAGATTTAAATGGATGAATCTCATGCACTTAGCTGACACTGCATGGTTAAAAATGTATCTCTGTTTTTATCATAACCGTTTGACTTTTTCATTCTGTTTTCAATGAAAATGGAAAACGAGCACAGAGTGATGGAGTGAGTAAACATTCTGATGTGGACCTGCTTCTTCCTGTCCCCAGGTGCATGGTTCTCATTGCTATTGAAGACAAATTTAGTCTTAGCCATGAGCTTGCTCTGCGATATAGGAATAATGACTGTTGCCAATGCCAAGTCTGGCACAGGTAAGCACCTTAGAGCACGGGTCTCCAAACTCAGTCCTGGAGGGCTGATGTCCTGCAGAGTTTGGCTCTGCCTTAGAGCCTCTTACAGGTTTATGAGAAGCTTTATAGATCACTTGTGTGCGTGACATTTGTGATATCTACTGAGGTGGGACAGTGGCATGGCTTCACAATTATTTCTTTAGACAAGTGACCAGGCGATGATATTTAGCAGAGCTTTATAAGGCAGCATTGCTTTGGTAAGTCATCCTGCGATGTTCTTTCGACATCTGTGAATGATAATTGTTGAGGAAAGCTGTGCTAGTAGTTAAACTATCAATCAGACTTGTGATTTTGCCTGG